ATTGTGGAGGGGGGAGGGAAAGGAAGGTAGGAGAAGGAGGAGAGGAGGGAGGAGGGAAGAGGGAGAGGAAGAGGAGAGACGAGGAGGACGAGGATGAGGGGGATGAGGGGGAGGAGGAGGAGGAGGAGAGGAGGAGGAGGAGAGGAGGAGGAAGAGGAGAGGACGGATGAGGTGGAGGAGGAGGAGAAGGTGGTGGAGGAGGAGGGAGAGGAGGAGGAGGTCATGAGCAGCAAAATGCGTGCCAAGACTTCCCCAGGCCGATCCTGCCGCTCCGCGCGGGCTCCGAGGAGCAGGGGCCGCTGGGCAGGTACAGCCAAGAAGCTGAAACAAGGACCACGTCGGGCTCAGGAGGAGCTCTGGTTTTCGGGCGGGAGGAGGACGAGGAGGACGAGGAGGAGGGGGAGGAAGGGGGAGGAGGAGGAGGAGGAGGAGGAGGAGGAGGAGGAGGAGGAGGAGGAGGAGGAGGTGGAGGAGGAGGAGGAGGAGGAGGTGGTGGAGGAGGAGGGAGAGGAGGAGGAGGTCATGAGGAGCTCTGGTTTTCGGGCGGTTCCATGATTCCAGGTCGGGGCACCGATTCGCGGCCGAGGCTCGCCGTGGCCAGACAAGTCCCTCGCTCCTCATTTTGTTCGTTCCTCGCGGCAGCACGACGGCTGCACTCAGGGGCTCTTGAAACGCATCCTCTGAGCCGATCGCTTCACAGAGGCCCGCCAGTCCTGGAGCAAAACGCATCCGGGATACGCCCTACTCCTGGCGGGGGGCTGGGCCCACAGGAGGAAGACGCCAGCTGTGCGGGCCGCGGGGGAGAACGAGATGGGCAAAGGTGAAGCGGGCCGGCGGCTGCGGCACACTGGGACACGGCCCGCCCCCGAGGAGGGGAACACCGACCTGGAATCGACGATGCATGTGCGGGCCGCGGGGGAGAACGAGATGGGCAAAGGTGAAGCGGGCCGGCGGCTGCGGCACACTGGGACACGGCCCGCCCCCGAGGAGGGGAACACCGACCTGGAATCGACGATGCATCGCCCACAGATCGGCGATGGGCCTCTGACTGCAAAACCGGGATGAATGGGCGAGCGAGTGAGGGTCGACGCATTCCCCCCCTGAGACCCCCCCCCCCCGTTGCCCCTGAAACTTCTGGGGGGGAGGGAGGCACTCGTGGGCGGCCTCGAGACCTGGCCCGAGCAACACCAGCAGCAACGCATTCCTCGCCCGCGCCTGCGCCACGTGCTCGTGCAGCAGCCGGATCCTGTCTGCGGCGATGCCAGACCGGTGGAAGCACAGGAGCACCTCCCGAATCTCCGCGGCCCGGTCCGAGATGGTCTCGCCATCGCGAAGGGCCCCCAGGGACCGGGTGTACTCCTTCGGGCGCACGCTGACATGAATGGCGCACGGGCGCTCCCCGAGACACAGAAGGCCGGTGCCGCCTCGCTTGGCGACGGGGCGCTTCGATCTCGCGTGGAAGCAGGACCCGCCGCTAGTCCACACCCCTTCATCCATGTCTGCATGTCCTCGATCCTGCGAAGGGGGCGGGGCCCTTGCAAAAGCTTTCCGTGGGATATTCCTCGGGTGCTGCATGGACTGATCGTGGGCTGCGGGGCAGTCGGTGCGCAAGCTGGGCACCGATAGGCTGCGAATTGTCCACGGGGCGGCCGCGAGCACACAGGCTTACCAACTGGTGCCAGGGAAAGCGGTGTCCGCAATGCTTCCACGTCGGATATCAGAAGCATGGAAGCTTTGTGGTGTGCAGGTGGACCTTGCGGTCGCAATCGCACAGTTTTGCAGTCTATCGGGAACCCCCTGAGACAGTATCTTTGACCCTGAAAGTGGCTGGGAACAAAGTGGTGCAAACCACGGGTTCAGCAAGACCCATGAACCAACATCGGGGTTGTCACCAAGGAGAAAAAAAAACGCTGGGTCATGCTGAACATCTTGGACCCAGGACATAAGACACACACACCATGAAATGATAATGAAAGGATGTGCAACGCTGCCTTGGGAAACTCCCAAAAGACCCCAAGCATCTCCCAGCGAACCCCGCGAAGAGCCACGACGGCTTCCAGATGCTCCGACTGGCGCCTCGGGAATTTTCGAGAGTTAGGCTGCAGAAGCTCCCGGAAAGCAGGCACGCGCCGAGAGGTCCCAGGGGTTCCAGGTGAGCGCTCGGGAGGCCCAGAAAGAGCCGCCCTCTCTTCTCCCCCCCCCCCACTTGGCCAAGCGCGGCCCCCACGCGGGCCACTGGCAATATTGAAAAAGACCAGACGAGGTCCCGCAAAGCCCCCCCCCAGAAGCGCCCCCAACCGCCAACAGCTGCTCGTCCCCGTGCGCGCGTTTCCTACTGACACGAAGCCAGGACGTGGACAACGTTGGACAAGGATGAGCCAAGAATCTCTGAGAGCCAGCAAGCCTGGGGAACGTATCGGGCGGCGCGGCCGTCCCAGAACGTCACGCCACGATGCGAGAGCACTCCAGAACGCCCTGGATCGATGCATCCTCATCCTACGCATCCGACGATATGATTTCTCCAATCCGTGGCACCGGAACTCCCGCCCCCGTCCCCGGGGCTGGCTGTGTGTCCAGAAAGCGGCACCCGAGGCCGACATGAAGGGAAAACTCCGCGATTGGAAAAAACGCATCTCCGCCCAGATTTTTGTCATCGGCAATGCTGGCGGACGCAAGCGCGACTGCAAAGCCGGCGGGCCGCGCCGGGCACTGGGCGCACTAGGCCAGGCGGACAAGCGTAGACGGGTGCGGAGAAGGAGGGGGCAAGGAGGCCATGGCCCCCGAGAATCGGCGCGACGGGCGCGCGCAAGCGGCCTCAGGCACCAGCATCGTCGCCCAGACAACGCACCCTTTTCTGATCATACGCAAGCAGAGCCATATCCTTACACATGTTGTCTTGAGCCAAACGCGCGAAAACGCGCGCGCGCCCGCGTAAAAGACAAGCAGGGGGAGCGACAGCAACGACTCCTCCCACGGCGGCCCCCGCTCCCTCTCTGGGGGTGGGGTGGAGGCGGCGATGGGAGGGTGATGACGCCGAAAACTAACAAAAACAATAAAATCCGGCAAACGAACAGAAAAACAGAAAAAGCTGAGCCCCCAGGCACAAAAAATCAACAAAATCAGGGTCCCGAGTGATTTTCGAATGGGAAGCATTGAAAAACCTCAAGTTTTCGTTGGCTGTTCTGATTTTTTAATAAAGAAATGTTTGTGTATGAATTTATATATTATACTATAGTATAATATATTATATTATATTATATTATACTATATTACATTACATTACATTACATTACATTACATTACATTACATTACATTACATTATATTATATTATATTATATTATATTACATTATATTATATTATATTATAGTGTATTATATTATTATATTATATATATTATATTATATTATTTATATTATAATATAATATATTATATTACTATATTTTTATTATATATTATATTATTATATATATTATAATATGTTTTATTATTATATTATTTATAATATATTATATTTCAATTATATTATATTATATTATATTATATTACATTATATTAATATTATATTAGTATTATATTATATTTTATTATATTTATTATATTATATTGTATATTATATTATATTATATTATATTATATTATTTATATTTTATATATTATATTATATGTATGTATATTATATTATATTATATTATATTATATTATATTATATTATATATATAATGTTCAGGGCTCGGATGTCGTTGATACGTTTCCTTGGGGGCTCTGATTGTCATGCCTTTCCTTTTGGTTTTGACAGATGTTCATGTTTTTGTTGGTTTCTGGCCCCCCGCGCCCCCCGCCCACAGAGGAAATCAATGTGCAACCCTCCACGAACGGAATCCTTTTTTGCAAGGCGCGGCAGAGGGAATCAAAGCGTACCCCGCCACAGAGGGAACCAGTCTGCACTCGGTGCAGAACGAATCGATGTGCAACCCGCCACACAGGAAAGCTTGCGCAAAACGCTCCCGAAGGATGCTGCACTGAGATTATCGTCGCAGCGCCGTCATGGCCAAGTAAGTTATGCAGACATCAGAGAAGAAGAGGAAGAGGAGGAGGGGGAGGAGGGGGAGGAGGAGGAGGAGGAACACGACGGGGCCGAGGAAAAGGGGAAAGAGAGGGGCAGAGGAGAACAACTAGAATATGGATAATGATACGGGCGAGGAACGGGTTTTCGGAACACAGGGGCCCGGGAACGAGTGGATGTGGAACAGGGGTAAAACAGCAAATGCACGAAGCAATATTGAACTCTGAATTTTCGGCATGACTGGCGTTTATATGGCTTTCACTACAGATTTCTGTTTGCACCCACTGCTGGGAGGTGCGGCTGGCCGACAGGCGATGGTCATTGAGAATATGGCGAGGCTGGATCAGATCAGGAACTGCGCTTCCGAGCTGACAGGCGCTCGACTGAGAGGCGGGGCTGGTTATCTGCATCGCAGCGCCGAGCTATTGCGAAATCCAATTGGCATCGACAACATGAAAAATGTCAACGACGTCCGCGCGCATCTCCTCCTGGACGCTCGAGGCCCATCGGTTCGTAGTCGAACATGAGGGTGTCAGGATCACGCGCAACGACCGCGTCACTCCAGAATTTCTCCTTATGGTGGTTTCGTGCATTGATTCTCGCACGCAATCCAAATACCTGCGCATCCGAGACCGCGCGATCGAGCCTTAGTTGTCCACTGGCAGTGAGTTATGCTTCGCGGCCCCCGGGTTTCACGAGGTTTGGGAGAAGATTTATCAAGCTGGGACCCAGGTAGCTGCTGTATACAAGGAGAAATGCACTGACCAGCTGAGCTCCCGAGAGGCGTCCTTCGATTCGTCGCACAAGTGCACGCTTCCGGCAGTCGGCCAGACAGACCACGGGAGGAAGAACAGCGCTGCGGACCGTTCGGAATTGCAGTGCGTTCGCGCCATGGTCGCTGACAGAGTTCCCGCGGCCCGCAAGCTCGGCCACAGCGAAGGAGTTCCAGAGCTGGCGAGGTTCATGAGGTAGAACGCATGCTTTCGCAGAGAAGCCAAATTGAGATTGTGTCGTTCGACTCGCCAAGGAAATGGGGCTTGCAAGACGCGCAGAAACTGTTCCCAAGCGTCGCGTGCGTTGGCGGAGGCCCTCTTCATGCCTGGATGCACTTGGCGAAGTTCGTCAACGAATGCGACCAGCTATGCAGAGATATCAAGAAGGTTATGCTGGAGTTCAACGGAAAGCCAGCGCCGACCCTGAAAAACAAGCGGTACGTCGACGTCGGCCAACCAAGAGGCCCAAACCAGGGCAACTTCGAAGCTCACCCCTCGGAGCTCCGCAAGGCATATGACAGACTCCAGAATTCTGCGTACAGGAAGAAGTCGCACTAAGATCACAAGCGGCATTGCGTCGACAGCATGGCGGCGATGAGCATGAACGTGAAGGCGTGCGAAAGGCCGCTCACAGGGCGTAACTCCAAGTCGGCAGTCCGCGACCTGCTCTCGAGGTATATGGCAGCGTCGCGCGTCTTTTACTATCAAAACACACCAGTCTACAAAGCCAGAACTGGTTCGTCGTGCACGTTCGGAACAACCCCAAATGAGACGATGACGTCCCAACTGAAGGCGTACAATGCAAACGTCTTTACGTTAACCCCCGAGCGATGCAGGTTGACTTTGGACCTCTTTTTGTTTGGAAAAGCGATCGCCCTGCACCTGAAGGGACGCGCTCCAGAGGGAACGCTTGACATAAAGGCTGTGTCTTGGCACGCCCACGCGATGCCAATTCTCCGCCAGCAGCCCGAGCAAGGTTCCATTGCCATTCCTAAGTCGGTTAAGTTTGAGGAGTGGCGTGACGCCCTAATGATGAACAAGCGCAAGCGCACGTCCTCCGCTGGCCCAGCTAGGCGCCAGAAGTACTACCTGATGCCCGCAGCCAGCAACGCATCTGTTCCTCCACAAGTGATTTTGTTGCATGTATTCGCGATGTGCGTACTTGAAAATCTGTGTGGGTTGCACCTTTGTTCGCGCTGGGAGGCCCCAGCTATCCCGCCGACTCCCCACGGCAACGCTCAACTTACTGCGCGCGAAGGATTGCGCTTGCGTGTTGCATTGCGTTGCACGCGCATTCCGTTTGCATTGCGTTTTGCTGCAGCAGTGGAGAACGAGCGAGAGGGAGAAGGGACGGAGGGCGGTAGAACGGATGGGGAGGGAGGAGGAATGGAAAGGAGGGTGGGCGACGCATGTGTTAAGGTGCGACGCGTCGTATCCTCAGACCTCTGAGAGCTGTCACGCGCGCGGAAAACCGCTTGGACAAATCGCACAAACGATGCACCGCACCCGTACCACCCCCCTGGATTGCAAAAGTATAGAAAAGGGACTATGTGCGTATGTGTATATATATATATATATATATAGGCGTGACCGTTGTCATGGCATTATTCATGTCGGTTGCCATCGTGTTGGTTTTCTGACACCAGTTTGGTTCATCAAAGGTGTTTGCCAAATTTTCCTTGGGCTCTGTCATTCGAGCATTGTCCTTACTCTCGAATCCTAGCTCAGGGGCATCTTTCTCTTGGATATGTTTAATGGATGAGCCCTTCAAGATATCACGCGGCATTACAATCGCATTCCCTTGAATGAATGTGAGAAGGGTATATGGCACGCGCTCGCGAAGACACACACACATAGATATACAAAGAGAGGGAGAGAGAAAGAGAAAAGCGCGCACCCTCGCCCGCGAATACGCAAGCGGTGTCCTATCTTCACAGATGCTGACCTGAGCCAAACGCGCGAAAAATCGTGCGTGGGCTCGCGTAAAAGACAGGCAGGTGGAGCGACATCAACAACGACTCATCTTACAGGAGACCTAGGCCCGAAGAGACACTAAAGGAACGCCTCAAACCACTTGCAGCCGCTGTGCTCCGTAAGCGCGCCTCCTTCCATACCCCTCGAATGCCTCATTCCAGCCCCCTCTCGGAGGGAGGGGGAGGAAGAGGATGAGGTGTAAGAAGAAGAAGATGAAGACTAGGCATTGCGTGCAGTCTCATTGCCTGACCTGCTGATAGCCGAGCATCGACCGCTGCACTTCCGAAGCGGGGTGACGGGATTAACGCACCGTGCAGCATGTCACGCATAGTATAATATAGACCGTCGCATGTCGCAAGCGTTTCAGTCTCTGTGGAAAGAAGAAGAAAGAAAAGGAGGGGAGGAGGAGGACAACGACTTGAAGTAATATGGCTCTGGGGTGGCTTCCTGGTGCCACCACCGTTGAAAGCACGGTGGACGCGATACGCGGTAGGGTCAGCGCATTCGCTGGGCAATGTAAGGGCGTGCCCTGGGGGCTTCCCAATAACGTCGCTGGCCTGGCCCACGTAATTGCAAATCCCTGCCGACTGTCTGATTCTACGGCTTGGACCGGATGCCCACGGGGGCAACGTGGAAACGGAATACTGCACTTGCAACCCGCTATGAAGCTCAAACCAGACCGTGGGAAATTCCTCTAAGCTTTCCCTGAGGGACCCAGAAGCGGGGGTGGGGTCTGCCTGAGTGTTCCCACCTACTTTTTCCTGCTGTGCCTGCGAATATGGTGGACCCCTGCCGCAGCCTGTCACCCTGAGCCTATCCCATCCTTTGGGTTGGTCCAAAAGGGGGTCCAGCGACAAGGGGGTGGTGCAATAGATCTGGTGCAATAGATTTGTGGGGCTGCAGTACCTTTGGGGCGTGCAGTACATTCCGGGGCGCAAATGTATTGTTGGACTTTCGCGTGCAATACGTGAGTTGCCAGACAATGCAAAACAATTCCCTGGCGCAATACATTTGCAATACAATTGCCCCAAACCCATTGCACCACCCCCCTTCAACTGGACCCCCTTTTGGGTCAAGCAGAATCCTGCCGTTGCCTCCTGCTTGGAAGTTTCACCACTCGGGCCTCCGGCGGCCGTCCCGGGAAGCTCTGGGCCCCCCTGGAACGCCGCCGGCAAGGCGCAGCTGCCGGAGAGCACCCCGAGCTTGGGCACCAGAGGGACATTTTTTTTTACAGCCGCAGGCGGAAGCGCCGGCGGCGAGCAGTCACGGTCGGGCTGCGGCCGCGACTAAATTCCCGGGCGCGCGCGGGAGCCACGGATCAGGCGGCGAGGCAGCGGCAACCCAGGGCGTCTGAGAGGCCAGGCGGACCAGAGGGACACAGCGAGAACGTCAGAGGAACTACAGTGAAAACGTATAGTAAGGACGCGTGGTAGGGACGCAAGACCCTTGGAGGCCGAAGTTAAAGTATTCATTCTGGGCGGCGAAATTGCTAGGGACGGGCCGCAGAGGCTGAGGCAGGCAAGGACCCAAGGGTACCCTTGAAAAAGTCGTTTGTCCTTAGTATGCGCGATGACTGTACAGTCGAAGCACTGCCAGAAGGAACCCCATATGAGGAATGAGGCCCCTTTTTCTCCCGAAGTGAAACTTCGATCTTCTATAGAAAACCTAAGACAAACTGCAAACAACATTAAGGAAAACCGAGCCCCTCCCCAACGAAACGAGTTCCTTCTTCAACGGCCCGACTGTAGGGCACCGGCACCGCCTGCTCCCTGGACCTCTCCCGGGGCGCGTTCTGGCCCGAATGCCGAGGAGAATCCGGCCGTGGTGGCGAGGGCTCTCCAGGACGAGCCGCGGCCTCGGCACCTCTTCCTCGCCCGATCGCTGAGCTCGTGCCGCAGATCGGCGCTCCGCCTGCTTCTCCTCCTCCTCCTTCTCCTCCTCCTCCTTCCTCCTCCTCCTCCTCCTCTTCCCCCTCCTCCACCTCCTCCTCCTCCTCCTCCTCCTCCTGCCCCTCCTCCTCCTCCTCCTCCTCCTCCTCCCCTCCCTCCCCCTCCCTCCCTCCCTCCCTCCTCCCTCCCTCCCTCCCCTCCCTCCCTCCCTCCCTCCCCCCTCCCTCCCTCCATCCCTCCTCCCTCCCTCCCTCCTCATCCTCCCCCTCCTCCTCATCCTCGTCCTCCTTCTCCTCCTCATCCATCTCAGAAGTCTTAGGAAGTTCCCGGCCTTCTGAGAAGTTTTCTACAGTCGGCCTTGATTGGACAGGACACGCGAGAGGACACAAGACCCATACGAGGGCCACATCGCCATAGGAGTGTAAGAAGGCACGTGCCGCGAGGCACAGGACACAAGGGTACCCTTGAGCTGGCAGGGTCGACCTACTAATCCGGGCCGGCTGTAGGCCTTCCCCGCAAGACACCGAACACCCCTCAGCAGGCGCGAGGGCTTCTGAGAAGCCCCGCCGCCGCCTTCTGAGAAGGCCTCCTCCTTCTCCCTTCCCCCCCCCCCCGGGCGCGCCGCCGAATCTCGATTTTGGGTCATACCTCGGGTCTCCGGCGGCCCTTCGGGAGGATCCGGGCACCCCCGCAAACGCCCTTGGCGAGGCGCCGCTGCTGGCAGGCATCCTGGGGCTGGGACACCGCCGAGAGCGGACGAAAGCGTCTGAAAACCTCGAGCCTCGAAGCTCGCACCCCCGAAACGTCCCCCCTTTCCTCGCTCGCCGCCGATCAAAGAGGTCCGGCCCCCAGCGGGGGAGAGTCCTCCTCCCCCTCCTCCTCCTCCTCCTCCTCCTCCTCCCCCTCCTCCTCCTCCTCCTCCTCCTCCTCCCCTCCTCCTCCTCCTCCCCTCCTCCTCTCCTCCTCCTCCTCCTCCTCCTCCTCTCCTCCTCTCCTCCTCCTCCTCCTCCTCCTCCTCCTCTCCTCCTCCTCCTCCTCCTCCTCCTCCTCCTCCTGAGTCCTCCAGGAACAGCAGCATGTAGGACGCCACGGCGTAGGGCCGGCCCGGCAGAGCCGCGAGGGCCGCCAGGGGGCGCAGGAGCTCCAGGCGCGAGGCGACGGGGGCCTTCGCCAAGAAGGCGGCCAGCGACGACGACGACGACGACGACGACGACGACGACGACGACGAGGACGACGACGACGACGACGACGACGACGACGAGGACGACGAGGACGACGACGACGACGAGGACGACGACGACGACGACGACGACGACGACGACGACGACGACGACGACGACGACGACGACGACGGCGACACGGACAAGATCGAAAAGCAGCGAGGCCGCGGGCGCCTCCGCCAGGACGCGCTGGAGCTGCGGCTTCGCGGCCTCGGGGCAGATGGAGGCCCGGGGGAGGGGGGCCCAGTGACAGGGGGCGTCGAAACGGAGGGGGGAAGGTGACTACCTACCAGACCACCCCAACCCAACCCGAAGACCCGAATTTTAATCGAATTTCGGGTTTGGGGGGGTACGGGTTCCATGTGTTTTTTCAATGTTCCCCGACACCCCCCCCACTGGAAATCGAGGATAAATTTGGGCCTTAGAGTTGGGTTGGGGTGGTTTGGTGGGTGGTGAGAAGGAGGAGGGCACGACGTGAATCTCCGAGGCCACGACATCAAAGAATCGATTCGTAGCTAAGCCGCTGCCGACAAGGAACCGCCATCGATGCATGACACTGCTGGAGAGTTCAGGCTGCATGGCAAGTGAACGTGAGAGCACCAAAAAAGATGCAAACCCGCTCCTGAAAACCACTCCCCCTCCCTCCATGCGAGAAGAAGTTGGTTGGGAGGCCGTTACTCTTTTTTTGCGCACTGCCTGCCGCGTGGCATGCAGGATGCCGCAGAGATCATCCTGGCGCGCCTCAAACCCGCCATCGTCGCCCGTCCATCCCCAAACCCATCCCTGCCGACCCCCCGCCCCCCTCCTCCTCTTCACCCTCCTCGTCGTCTCGCGCTCTGGCGCACCCCCGCGCCAGCGGGCCTTCCTCCGGCACCAGGGCCGGCAGTCGGCTTGGGGGTGTGTCGAAACCTCGCCGCCGCCGCGGACTGGGCAAAGGCCTCACTCCTCGCCGACCTCGTACACGTAGATGCTGCCGTTGGTGGAGCCCGCAAAGAGGGTGTTGCCGTCGGCGCTCCACGACAGCGACACGCACCAGGGGATGCCGTTCTTGGGCGGCGCCGTGGGGTTCAGCTCGTCCAGCACGTTCTTGTTCTCCAGGTCCCACACCTTGATCGCAGTGTCCGTGGCGGCGACCAGCCAGTAGTTCTTGGGGCTGAAGGTGAGCGCGTTGATGGTGCCGCCCGCGTCCAGAGAGTACAAGTGCTTTCCATCGTTCACATCCCACAGCATGGCCGTGCCGTCCTTGCCGCCGGAGGCGCACAGGGACCCGTCCGGCGAGACGGTGGCCACGTAGACGACGCCAGTGTGGCCGACGAGGTTGGTGCGCAGCTTGCAGTTGCTCAGGTTCCAGACCTTCACGAGCTTGTCCCAGCCCGCGGACACGATGAGTGGCATCTTGGCCGACGGGGAGAACACCACGCAGCTGACCCAGTCCGTGTGGATGTCCTCGGTGATGGTGTACTTGCACTCCGCCAGGGTGTTCCAGAGCTTGATCGTGCGGTCGCGGCTGCCTGACACGATCTGGCGGTTGTCCCCTGAGAAGGCCACGCTGTTCACGTCCTTGGCGTGGCCCTGGAAGGTGCGCGCAGTGGCGCCGGTGTTCAGATCCCAGAGCCGCATGGTGCGGTCCCAGGAGCCCGAGAGGGCGAACTGGCCGTCGGAGGAGAGGACCACGCTGGAAACGGGCTCGGAGTGCCCGGAGAGGGCCCGGCGAGCATAGCCCACGGCCTCTCCCTCTGGGGTAAGCTCCCAGATCATCACCTTCTTGTCGCGAGACCCAGAAACCACGAGGCTGCTCTGCTCGTAGGTGGTGGCAATGGAGGTGACCCAGCCACGGTGGGCTTTCAGCTCCCCGCGGAAGATCAGCGACTCGCTCATAGTTGAGACGGAAGGAGGGCTGCTGCGCGCGAAGCTCGGAGTATCGGCGAGGTCGCGACCGCTGAGGCTTGAGCCCAAAACGGGTACGAAGTGAAACGGTTGGGGGGCTCAAGATGTACGATCACCGACGGTGAATACATCTCAGACGAAACACCCTGACCGCTCTTCTGACACTGTGAGACGGGAAAAGGTGCTCAGAAGGAAGAGGAGAGGAGGAGGAGGAGGAGGAGGAGGAGGAGGAGGAGGAGGGAAATGTATCTGCTCTGGATGACCCTGGGAGTCTCAACGGGGGTCGATCAGGAGAAGGAGCGGTAAGGGGTCGGAAGACAGGGGAGGGAGAGAGATAAGGGGGAGGGTTAAGAAGACGGGAGCAGCAGCAGCAAGGAGGAAGGAATGCAGGAGCAGAAGGAGCAGAAGCGGCAGGACGGTCAGCAGCAGCAGGAGAGACGAGGAGCAGGAGGAGAAGGAGGAGGAGAAGAGACAAGGAGGAGCGCGAGGCAGGAGGCAGGAGATAAATTGAGCCGCCCAAAACCATAAGCTTCTCAATCCTCATCATCCTCCTGTTCCTCTTCCTTGTCCTCCCCATCCCCAACGAAGGGGGTGAGACGGAGGAGAAGGATGAGGAGGACTGGGCCACACCTCCCTCCTCCTCCTCCGTCTCCTCCTCCTCCTCCTCCTCCTCCTCCTCCTGCTCCTGCTCCTCCTCCTCCTCCACCTCCTCCTCCTCCTCCTCCTCCTCCCCCTGCCCCCTGCCTTCCTCTTCCTGCTCATATTCAAACTTCTCCTCCTCCCCTCCTCCTCCTCGCATCCTCCTTCTCCTTCTCCTCCTCCTCCTCGTCCTTCTCCTCCTCCTCCTCCTCCTCCTCCTCCTCATACTCCTCCTCTTCCTCCTCATCTTAATCATAATAGTAGTAATCATCAGCATCATCAACATCATCAACATCATCAGCATCGTCATCAGCATCTTCGTCATAACCATCATCCATCGTCATCACAATCAACATCATCAGCTTCATCATCAGCACCATCAGCATTATCATTATCATGGCCTTAATCATCATCAGCATCATCATCAGCAGCATCATCGGCATCATAATCAGCATCATCAGCATCATCAGCAGCATCGTCATGGTCATCACAAACAACATTATCAGCAGCATCATCGTCGTTACCAGCATCGTCATCATCAGCAGCATCAGCATGTTCAGCATCATCAGCCACATCATCATCAACATAATCATCATCATCATCATCATCAGCATCATCATCATCATCATCATCATCATCATCATCATCATCATCATCATCATCATCATCATCATCATCATCGTCAGCATCATCATCATCATCATCATCATCATCATCATCATCATCATCATCATCATCATCATTATCAGTATCATCGTCTTTACCAGCATCGTCATCATCAGCAGCATCAGCATCAGCATCAGCATCAGCAGCATCATCATCCTCAGCAGCAGCAGCAGCAGCCTCATCATGATCACCATGATCATCATCAAGATCATCGTCATCATCAGCCACACCATCATCATCAGCATCATCATCTTCACCAGCATCATCATCATCAACATCTTCATCATAATCTTGCTCACAATCAGCATCAGCAGCAGCAGCATCATCAGCATCATCTGTGTCATCATCATCCTCGTCGTCACCATCGTCATTATCATCAGCCTCATCATCATCATCATCAGCATCGTCGTGATGATCAGCATCATCATTAGCAGCAGCAATATCATCAGCATCAGCATCCTCAGCATCATCGTCGTCATCAGCATCACCATCAGCATCAGCAGCATCGTCATCATCGCCAGCAGTACCAACATCATAAGCATCCTCATCATCAGCAGCATCATCACCACCATCATCATCATCATCATAAGCAGCATCATCCTGTTCCTCCTCCACGCTGGCCTCCTTCATCAAATATCGTCATGAACAGGTTCATTGCATTCATACGCATGATTAGAGTTGTCACCGTGGACCTGTTCATCATCATCATCAGCATCATCAGCATCAGGATCATGAGTATCATCATACCCATCTTCTGCATCAGCATCATCATCACCATCATCAGACTCGTCATCCTCATCATCATCATCATCATCATCATCATCATCATCATCATCATCATCATCATCATCATCATCGTCAGCATAATCATCGTCATCCTTATCAGTTTCAGCAACATCAAACTCATCAGTATCGTGATCGTCGTCATCCGTGCCGCCACGAGCATCAGCATCATCTTCACCACAATCATCATCGTGACCTTGAGCATCATCATCCGCATCAGTATCGTCAGCATCATCAGCAGCATAATCGGCATCGTCATCGTCATCGTCAGCACCATCGTCATCATCATCATCATCATCAGCAGCAACGTCATCATCAGCAGCAGCATCATTCGCATCATCATCAGCAGCATCATCATCAAAGTCTTCATCATCATCACCATCATCATCATCATCATCATTGGCATCGCCATCGCCATCGCCATGTCCTCTTCCTCCTTGTCCTCCTCATCGGCGGCGGCGCGGCAGCAGCAGCATCTTGATCATTGACATCCTCCATCCATACTCTCCTCTTCTTCCTCCTTCCCCTCCTCCGCCTCCTCCTCCTCGCTCACTCCCTCCCTCCCTCACTCACTCCCATATCTCTCCCCCCTCCCTCATTATCAATCCCTCCCTCTCCTCCCCTCCCTCTCTGATCCCCCTTCCCGTCGTCCTCCTGTTTAAACGAATTAGATGGAGAACAATTGCACGATTGGAAGAGCGACGACGGAAGTCTAGGCCGCACGTAATTCTGCTACGGATCGGCAACGTCTGCAGCTCGGAGCGACTGTGGCGGACCGCTGGGGTGGGGATACTCCACCCAGGCGATCCGAGCGAGGTTCTGATTGCCCTTGTCTGTGAGCGGGAAGCAGACCGAAACGAGGTGTCTGGGGTCGGTCGTGGCTGTACAATCGCACCTGGAGCAGAAGACGAGTGTAGAAAGATGTGAGGTGCGGGTCCTGCTCAAAACTTTCGCACCCAAGGACCCGCCGACCTCGGAGCGGCGCGATCGCGAGAGGGGGCGGGGCAAGAGCGCACATCGTTAAGGCAGCTTGGAAGGTCCGTTCTCGGTCAACAGAAAAACTGTTGCCATAAAACTCTTGGACGATTCGTCGGACGAGGGAGGAGGTCGAGGAGGATGAAGGAGGAGGAGGCAGGAGGGAGGTGCGACCCCGTCTCGCTCCTTTCCCTATTCCCTCTCCTCCTCCTTCTGCACATCCCCCTTATCCTTGCACTCCTGTTCATCTTTGTCACCAC